TCCACCCAATGCAAACCCGATCCAAAGCCGGAATCTTTTGCCCAAAACAAATCCTGAACCTCTTTGTCTCATCACCTATCTCCCCCTTACCCCCAACTTACCGTAGTGCACTAAAAGATCCAAACTGGCATGCTGCTATGTGTGATGAATATAATGCCTTGATCAAGAATGAAACATGGGAATTAGTACCCCCCCCTCCCCCACTCAAAACATAATCTCTGGCAAATGGCTTTTTAGACACAAACTTGGCCCATCAGGTGAGTTATCCAGGTACAAGGCCCGTTGGGTGGTCCGCGGTTTCAATCAGCGCTTTGGCGTCGACTACGACGAAACCTTCAGCCCCGTTGTCAAACCTGCTACAGTCCGTATCATTCTTAGCATTGCTCTGTCAAGAGGATGGCCCATTCACTAGCTAGACGTCAAAAATGCCTTCCTCCATGGTCAGCTACCGGAGACAGTCTATGCCAGTCAGCCTTCCGGGTTTCAGGATCTCGCTCGACCTCATTATGTTTGTCGACTCAAGAAGGCCCTCTATAGGCTTAAGCAGGCACCGCGGTCGTGGTATCACAGATTTGCCAGTTTTATTCAGACTATTGGGTTTCGCGGGTGCAAGTCGGATACATCACTGTTTGTTTTCTCTCATCCCATGGGCACTGCCTACCTACTACTGTACGTTGATGATATTGTTCTTACAGCATCTTCCAGTGCACTTCTCCAGCATCTCATCCAGCGGCTAAAGGCCGAATTTGCTATGACAGACGTGGGAGACCTACACTTTTTCCTCGGCATCAACGTACACAGAACGACCACTGGTCTATTTCTCCACCAGACACAGTTCACTCATGACATACTCGAGCGGGCCGGGATGGTCTCTTGCCGCCCCATCTCTTCCCCAGTGGACACAAAGGCAAAGCTCTCCTCCTCGTCAGGCACACTGCTCCCTGCTCCCTGATCCCACTCTTTATCGATCCTTCGTTGGAGCATTATAGTACCTTACATTTACTCGTCCTAACATCACATATGCCGTCCAGAAGCTTTGTCTACACCTTCATGCCCCCCGTGATGCTCATCTCACAGCCATGGCACCCCCACCCATGGCATCCACCTGGCGCGCTCCTCCACCGACTCTCTGCAGGCATACTCCGACGCTGATTGGGCCGAATGCCCAGACACCCGCCGTTCCACCTCTGGATACTGTATCTTTCTCGGTGACAACCTAGTCTCCTGGTCCTCCAAGCGTTAGGCTACCACCTCCCGTTCCAGTGCAGAAGCTGAGTATCGCGCTGTGGCCAACATCGTTGCAGAGACGAGCTGGATCTGGAATCTACTACTTGAGCTGCAGCAACCCCTTCGGCGTGCCACCCTTGTCTTTTGCGACAACGTCAGTGCAGTGTATCTCTCGACAAATCTCGTACAGCACCAGCGCACCAAACACATGGAAGTTGATATCCACTTTGTCCGTGACAAAGTAGCACTGGGTCATGTGCGAGTTCTCCACGTCCCCTCGTCTTCGCAGTATGCTGATATCTTCACTAAGGGACTGCCATCTTTATTATTTCTGGACTTCAGACAGAGCTTGGGAATCAGACCTCCTCCACATCCGACGTAGCCGGGAGCATGTTAAATATATTGTATATATTTAATATATTGTATTATTCTCTTACCTTATTTGTATAGGTTTCCTTCCTTGTGTCTCTCCTACCTTGTTTAGGATTGAGACTCCTCTATCTTATATATATACATGTAATCACAACTCAATTGATCAATAAAAATCATCATTCTTCAGTTTTATCGAATCAATAACACTAAAAATATGAATTTATTTAGCTAGGCAGTAATAAATAGAGGGAGTTTCAAGTATGTGACTGTCTAGTCAAAGCTGGAACTTGGTTTTTAGTTTAAGGTAGGGCCTTTTGGGGCTAAAGCTAAGCAAACGGGTGTGCTTGGAACTTGGAAGTGCCGCTTACAAAACCTTGAGGCAAATTAATCTGAGTGTTAGCCCCATTCATTTCTAATGTTTTGACTTATTGGAATATTAATACTCCGTATTAAGTTTGAGTTTTCATAATTGATCTTTTCCACCGGTTTAATTTTATCTAATTTGATAATTCTTTGTATGCAATGGACACCGAATCACCTTTTCTAAAGACAAGCTAAGATTGCTTAATCACGACACAATTGGAGGGGCAAAGGATGTGATTTAAGGCACTTAATTTTAAATACTAGCTATGAGAGTCATAGCCCCCATATAGGTGATACTCGCTCCGTCCCTGACTATTTATCCAGTTTTGGTTTTTCTCGGTCTAAGTTAGTAAACTTTGACCTCAAATTAAATAAAAATGATATCAGATATTGATACAAATATAGTTTTATTAGATTTATTATATCAAATATTTTCAAAATATTATTTTATCAAACTAATATACAATATATATTTTATTTAATTATAAACCAAAGATTGAAAACAGTTGACCGAAAGAAAGACAAAACTGACAAATACCCAGAGACCGACATAATATAATTTAAGGATAAATTTCATGGCAATCTCCTATTCAACCAAAAGCCTCTACGGCCATTGCATCCATATTACATACATGAAGTAACAAGTGGGAGTGTCAGATAAATGTGCGGTCACACGTTACGTAAAAAGTCATCTATAATTGTTATAAATGAACATTGCACTGTACAATCTTCATTTGATTAAACCATAGATCGATGCATGCATATATTTCTTGGTCGATCGGATAAACTCAATCGCCTTTTTCTGTGATAAAATCCAACCAGTCTTGTCTGGTTACAAAAGATGAAACACTCACACACCCAACAAGCTAGGTTACTAGGTTTTATGTATGTTTGTTGATGCGGCTTAGCTTGCATGGTCTATTAAGAGTGTGTTACTGGGGTTTGGCGTGACTTGATGGTGTGTAAAGAGGATTATATGAAGTGATATAAACATATATATAATGATGTGTAAATATAAGTGAGAGAAGCATTTCAAGAACATTTCAAGAACAGCTTCAAACTACCTAAGTGAGAGAAGCATTTAAAGAACAGCTCCAAACTGGGAGCTATTTAAAATTTACTCCTAATGAGTAATTTTTAAACGGGTATCTAGGTCGGTCAATATATGTTATTTCTATATTATAAGATATCAGATCATGAAAAATCAAACACAAAGTAATTAAATAATCTATATTTCAAACGCAATCTATATCACAATGTCACATTTTAACTTAAACATAAACACAAAAGCAATTCATCAAATATATAGTAATTAAAGAAAATACATTGAAATAAATTTAAAATTATATTACCACTTGAAATAAAAAAATATTCACCTAATACAAAAATATATAAATAAATAATACTCCCTCCGTCCCTAAAAACCTTTCTCCTTTCTTTTTTCATCCGTCCCAAAAAACACTTCTCATTTCTATTAAAAAGTCACTTTTACCCCTTACTTTTTCATACCCTACCTATCACATCATACCTTTTTACTAATAATCTATCCATCAAATCATACTTTTACCCATCACATCAAAGGACATTTTTGGAAATTCAATACCAAAATACACTCCCCTTAAATCTCTCTTCAAAATCAAAACTCCCATGTTTTCCGGGACGGAGGGAGTAGTATAATTAAATATTTAAAGTGAAAAATTAAAAAAAATACCTTAAAAATGTGAAGGCATGGCCGGCGAGACTCGAGCAAATGTGAAGGCAGCGACGGGTGACTCGGCGAGACTCGAGGAAAGGTAGACAAGCGGTATGGCGGCAGATTGAAGGGTTACGTTGGTGATTACAAGCAGCGGCGAGGTCTCCCAACGAAAGGTGGCGTCGGCGGATGGGTAAAGTCGGCGAAGGGATGGTTTTCAGTCGAGTTCAGCGCCACCGGAAGTCGGAGAGGTAAAGTCGGTGAAGGGATGGGTAAAGTTGGCGTTGGGACGAGGCACGGCGGAGAATGACGTCGGCGAGGGATGGCACGGCGAGGGGTGGCGTCGGCGAAGGGTGGAAGTCGGCGAAAGGTGGCATCGACGAAGGGTGGAAGTCGGCGAGAGGTGGCGTCGGGGAGGGTGGCACGGCGAAGGGTTTGGAGGCTAATTTCAAAATCGCGTAATGATAAGAATCTGGAAGTTGATTTTAACAACCCCTTTTGAATCGGTTATTCCTAATAACCGATGCAAAGGGTATTTGCATCGATTATTAGGAATAACCGATTCAAAAGGTCATCAGCATTTGAATCAATTGTTCCTAATAACCGATGCAAATGCAAATGGGAGGATTTATTTGGTCGTTTTTGTAGTAGCGATGTCCGTCCAATGGGGTGTGCAAGAGGTTCAATTGAACATGACCCCTTAGTTTAGAGGGCCCCATTTTTTAAATACTACAAACCTATGAGTAAATTTAATTTCTTATTTTAGTCAAAACCATGTAAAAGTTCAAGAGTAATGCTAGATTCACAAATATCTTAGACACAAATTACACAAACTTGCTATTTGTGCACTTTCCAAAGTGAATAAAATGATTTTAAATCATTTAAAAACAAATATTTAAATACACAAATAGTAAGTTTGTGTCCAAATTGTTTGTGATTGTAGCATTACTCAAAGTTCAATGCCTTCTTCATTCTGGATTCTTCTTCTCCTTCTCGATTATCAAGTCGTGCAACTACTCTTCGATTGCTTCATTTGTGAAAATTTTTTCTCACCCAAGATGTGGTGGAGCATAAAGTAAAAAAGAAATTCATAGAACTAAACTTTACATTTAATGAGAAAGGTCTAAAATTAATTATAATTAACAGTTATACGTAGTGAATATAAAATGTTCCACAATGGATGCCCCAGTCCCATATTCAAAACTCACTGATGAGAATTTACCGGAAAAAGAGATCATAATCTACAACCGAAGTAACCCATCAGCGGCACTACAACATCAGGTGCACCTGCAAAACGGATGCAAAGCAGTCAACATTTACCCAAAACTTGAAACAAGAAAGGTACAAACAATCAAAAGGGCCAATTTACCACACACATGAACTAGGAAAACAAAGTAGCAACGAGTTCAGAAAAGCAGCATACACATTTACCAGAAACCAAAACAAGAAACGAACTAAAACCAACATTTTAGAAAAGGCAAATTCAACTCACACAAATGAAAAATGTCAAAGTAAAAATAGTATGAATAGAAGAAGGATTTATTTGTTTGCCAAGCTAGTAGTATATGTAGGGAGAGATTATATCACTTACATTATTGCATTGCAAGTGGATCCGTAGCGAGGAGTCATTTGTCGCCTAAAATTCTTACCAGTTCTCCCGGGAGACTGTATCGTTGAATGGAAGGAGGCGTGGAGCAACACAATCAATCACTACTTGGCATGCCCCATAATGTTCGAACTCGCACTTCCTGACTTCTTGCTGGCTCTTCTTTTCTTTAACTTATTCTTCTTCATTGTACATTGTGCTGCCTCTTCTGGTAAACAATACACTGAAGCGCAAGAACACTCTTTAGTACGGCAAATAAAGAACCAGTTCTTGTGTTCTTCAAGTTTGAACTTATGTGTATATGTTTCATGTGAAGAAGGCATTAACAGCTTTTTACTACTTCGCATCCCCTGTTACTATTATTACCCTAATCTCAACAAGACTTGTTGAGGTCAATGCCATTAAATTCATAGCACCGCTTAATTATATGTAACTAATTAACACTGTAAATTCATGTAAAAAGCATACGACGAACACTCTTCCTATTGCAACTTCATAGGAAACAGTAATTACATAAAAATTATAAAACCATCATCGCTATTAGGGGTGTTCATGTTTAGGTCCAGATCGAAAAACCCGACCGAACCGGACCGATAGGTCCAGACCGAACCCGGACCGATAACATTTAGGTCCGGTCTTAGGTCCAATTAATTTCTGATTTCGGGTATTGGTCCGGTCCGGTCCAAACCCGAATTTATTTCGGTCTGGACCGAAATGACCGAACCCCATAAGCAGTAGCACCCTGTGTATGACCGAATACCAAAAGCAGTAAGCTCCCTCTGTATTCCATATATTACTCCGTATTTCACTATCACTTTCCTTAACTTTGTATCCACTCTTTCTTTATTCCTCTTTATATTCTCTAAAAAATCACTATAGCATACTCTGTAATTTTTTCTTCACAAATTGCAAGTCCCGACCGGTGAAGAATACTCTGACCTCAACCAGGCACCAGCAGCCACTCAAGTACTCCAATCTCTCCAAGTTGGCTTTCTTGGTTTTTTTTTTGTTTTAAATTTGAAGATGTTTTCAAATCCCAACCCGATCTACCATCCCTTGGTGCCTTTAAATTTAATTCCTCTATAAAATGATTTTTGAATTGAATAAGGAATTGATTTTATTTGTTCATTAGCTTTATTGGAAGATGCTAGTTGTGTCTCCAATTTTTACAGAAATACAGTGGGGTGTTAAAAGGGTTATTTTTCGGTCTTTTTCGGTCTATGTCGGTTTGGTCCACATGATTTCGGTCCGGTTCGGTCAATGACCGAAAACATTTAAGTCCGGTCTTCGGTCCCCATTTTTATTGATTTCGGTCTTCGGTCCGGTCCGGTCCGGTTCGGTCCGGGTTTGGACCGATGAACAGCCCTAATCGCTATATGGTATTAAGAGCCAATATTTTTTTAAAGAACATCCACCACTGTCAAATGGCCTCCTCCACCATCTTCTCCTCTCAAACAATCACCAAGGACACTTTGATGCTCCAACTTCATGCCAAAACACGCTTCCCCATAAAACTATACTCCACAAACTTCCCCATATGGAGACGACAAGTTCATTCCAGCTCATTGGCCTTGATCTCCTAGGCTACATAGACGGCACTCTCATGGCTCCACCAAAATATCTGGGTGATACAGCCAATCAATGCTACTCGATTTTGTTTCATCAGGATCAAACCATTGTTGGTGCCCTTCTCAAAAGCCCCTCTCCACGGTTGAGACATTTCACACTACCACGAGAGTGGAGATATCTCTACTCCAGCTTTGCTAGCTATAGTTGCAGGCAAGTAGTGCCCTTAAAATAAAAAATGGGCAAAATATCTAGCGGTAATACCATGGTCACCCACTATCTCAATGATATGCAGCCCATTCTGTATGAATTGGCACTCGTTCCAAGTCCTCTTTTGCAAGATCTTCTCTGTCACATACTCAATGAAATTGGAGACAAATACGATGATTGATGAGTTTGTCCCCGTCACTCATGTTTGCGGGACCAACATTCCATTTATCAAACTCATGGATACTCTCAATCACGAACGGAAATTGATGGACTCAGATGTGGCTACTTGCCACAGCAAATTACACCAATCAGATACCCAACAACAACAATGGTCAGTTTTCGAGTCGGGCTACACCAGCCGCTAGTCCCGAGACACTCTTAGTGATGATTCTAGAATCTAGAGAGCTCTATCAGGGTAGAAACTCCTTCCTTACTTTTAAACCTCTTTTTAACCAAGTCTCGTGAGTGTCATTTGAGCTTGTGAAAATCTTAGATTGTAAAAATCTTATCAATACCCCAATCTCGCAAACACTTGTAAATTGCTTTGCAAATATTCTCACCATTATGACTATGAATTGGACAAAAGTTGATTATCCTCTTATTCAATTTCCTATTTTCATCAATAAAGTGAGATGTTACACAAATATAATTGACATTTCGCAAAGATGTCCAAAAATCAGTGGTAAGTGACACTAGCACCTTGGAACAATTTTATTAATTTCGTTTGTTAATCCAAGTAAATCCCATACCAATCTCTAGCAACTATCCATCAAGAAGGCATTTTAAATCTAGGAGCAGCAATGGATATGGACTTTTTTTTAAACTCTTTCCCTCAACAAATTTAAATTGCAATTCATCAATGATAATCCTTTCTACTATACCCTTCCTAAGTGCTTCTCCGCTATACTTTCCAAAAGTTATTGGCGCATTTCCCTCCCCATCAGCTGTTCCATATAGCAAATTAGTTTGATTATGATCCCCTTTCTCACGAGGTAAACTAACACAACTTTTTAAATGGTTTTTCAAAGAGCTTGTGCCATTACTTTTAGTATTTGCAGCAAATTCTCTACCACAATGGTCACATCTAGCTTTTTGCAATATAAACTCATCTTTAATAATAGTAAACTTAGTGAAATGATCCTAAACATCAGATCTTATTAAAGGTGTGTTCCTTTGCTTCCTTTTAAGTCTAGGAGATGAAAACTTTGCCATACTTTCTTTACTAAGGATACATTCTTGGTTTAATCTTGTTCTTCATCTTGTGAATCATGGGGAGCAATTGACTCCACTCTTGAATTTTGATGTACTCATCATGAATTAACAAAAATAAAAGTAAATCATGACTAGTAAAAAATGAAGATTTAACACTCATATTGCATATTTAGAAATTGCATATTTAAGATGCCAATTGGTAATAGTTACAGATTTAATTAGTAAAAAATGAAGATTTAGTAATTGCAGGTTTAACTAGTAAATAAATGCAGATTTAATTAGTAAATAAACGAAGAATTAATTAGTAAAAAAATTGATTTAACACTCAAATTGTAGATTTATGACTAAAGTTGCAGAGTCTGTTTCATAGACTTTTCCATCAAGAACCAAACTACAGCATACTTCAATCCTTTGGCTGCTTGTGCTAATCCACGGTTACGCTTACACTCCACTACTAAAAATCTCACCCTAGTGTGTTGGTTACTCATCCACTCACTCTGCATATAATTGTCTTGTCCCCATTGCCAACGTCTATACCTTTCACGTCATAATAGATTCATTGAGCACACATTTACTACTACTCCCATCACACGTGCGTTTATCCTCCCCTCTCCCACATTTTTTGCTTGTTCTGCCTCCGTTCTCAACCCCCACCACCCATCTGTCACCCCCTAGAGCTCTTTCGACACCAAGAGCCCCTACGAAGTCCCTTCGCTTCCCCTCCTAAACCCGGAACCCCCGTAGGGCCCCACATGAAGCCAGGCTCCCTCCACAACCCCTTCGAAACCTGGAACTCCACTAGAGCTCGGAAGCCCCCTGCCCTCTCATCGGGAACTCCTCTGGCATCTCTCTAGAACCCCTCCAAATCTCCCCCACCACCCTCCCACATAACCCTACTGGTGGTCTTTCATCACCTTCGGCTTCTAATGATAATGTGTGTCATTGAACCATTGCACAACATCTCATCAACATTGACTAATTCCTAGTCATTATTCACATTACAACTTCTATCTAGGTATAGAAAGTGTTGGAGTCCTCTTTAGATACTTAGTTCATGTTAACATGTTTAACTCCTACTTAGGAGTATTTTCAAAACACTAATAAAAAAGTTGTTCCCAAACAAAGACCTACCATGTTTAACTAGGAGTTAGTGGCATGTAAAAACGTGCCTAGTAATTTAACATAACACTAGAAATGTTAATAGAGAATGATGCCTTCGAAAATTCCAATTAGTATTTTGAAATTAACAAATTTTTCAAAATATTGCTAATTTAAAATGTTAATTTATTGAACATATCAAATAGTAAAGGTCACTCACAAATGTTATTTTGAATTAAAACACTAAAAAGCAACATATGAGTTTATTGTATAGCATAATGTGATTACTAAGTTAGTGTAATTGCTAGGGTATGGTAATAATAGAGAGAGTGTGTGTAATTACAGTGTTATTATTTTGAGTTTGTTTGGCAAATAGAGTTATAGTGTAATGTTATACAATGAATTCATTGCAAAATAAACTTCTTAATTTGACTTCGATGAGTCAAAGAATTTTTTTTAAAAAATAATGCCAGATTAAAATTTGTTTAGATAAGAGAGGAAAGTTGTGAGTCACAAATTTTATCCTTAATAGGAAAAACAGAACTGTGAGGTTTATTTTGGTACAGACAAAAAATGAAAGTGTGAAGATTATTTAGAAACGGAGGGAGCATTTTTATTTTTATAACGTAATTAAAACACATAATAACACCAATTCTGGCATCTCTTCTGTAGAATTTACACCAATTAGAATCAGACTTTGAGGGTGTTTGAGTTTGTGGTAGATTTTGAAGAAACAAAAAATATAACTACAAGCTGGAAACATTTACAGTAGTTAGTTTTAGCTTCTCTGTATTGCACTTCTAGAACTCATTTTATATTGCAGTGTGACAAAACAGAAGTTCATAAGTAGTTTTGAAAATCAACCCCAAACACTATCTTTATAGGTACATGATCAATCAAACCTCACAAAACGCGTAATTTAATGCAAATAAGGAATTAAATCAAATCTCCATGACACACGTTTACCTGGAGAGGATGCATTTTGACGAACACATAGAGGGTGCTCCTCTACCATCTCCGCACCAGAAACTCCAATCTCATTGCTTGCTTCAGGCAACAAAGGGCCGATAATTTTCCGGCGACGGGAAGCCGCTTCCTTGAGCTTCGCTCTGCGAATGCGCTTCCTCTGAGCCCTAGTTAGTTTCCCAGCTTCGAATCCCATGTCCCGATCGCTAGAGGAAGAAGAACTCCTTTCGTTCTCAGATTCATCTGCATTTCACTTCAATCTCGTAATTAGCGAGTCAATGCTGCTCAATCAATCAATTTTTTCAGGAAAAAAGGGAGCACCTCGAACAACATCCAAGTCGATGATGGAGGGGGCTTCTTCTTCGCTACTTTCCGTCTGAGTTAATAATCCGATCAGAAGTCTAATACTGAGAACAAAGATAATTTAAAAAGAGAAACTTACTGCTTGGTGATCAGGAGGCAACGATGGAGGCGGATAAAGCAATTTTAGCAGGCCTTCATGGAATTTTCTTCGTTTCTCCTCCTTCCTGTTCATCTTCCTCTCACTCATGGATAGATAGGCGTATGATTTGTAATTTCGTTATCACCAATAACCTCACCGGTTAAAAACAAACTGACCTATAGTTACTTAAACAAATCAAATATTTTAAATTCGATTCGCGATTTGTATTCGAATATGATGATTCGAATTCGCGTTATTCAAATACAAATTCAAATATTATTTTTGATTCGAATATTAATCAAATACAAATACAAATAGGGATATATTCGATTCGGATAATATTCGAATATTCGAATATATGTATATATATACAGACCATGTTTTCAACATCAAAAGTCAAGCAAAGTAATATAGTATAAAGTGTATTTAAAATACTAAGAATTCAATAAATTAACGTAACACGAAAATCTAAAGCATATGATTTTTAATAGTTATATTTTATAAAATATAGTTTGTGTAAGATGCAAATGTATTAATGTTTTTATATACGGAATATAGTATAGTATAAAGAGTATCGTAAGTTAAATTACAAATTGATGTTGGTTCATCATATAAATTATATAGTATGATTATTCAAATATTCGTTTATGATTCGATAACTATTCGAATATTAATCAAATACTTATTCAAATCTTATTTTGAATTCGTCTCATATTCGGATTCGGATTCGTATTCGAAAAAATTAAACAAATACAAATTCAAATATATCGGTATTCGCTTCGATTCGGTTCGTTTACACCCCTACTGCCCTACAAATATGTTAATTTGGGGTTATTTCTTTTGTTCTAAAACATTTTTTCCATTTCTATTTACGAATTTCAATTGACTTTATTTTTATTTTAATTTATTTGATTTTAGGTGTAAAATAAAAATTTAAAAAATTAATTCAAAAGTTCTACAAAACAAGAGAGGACAAGATTATATTCTTTTATCAAATAACTAATGAAAATAATAAAGAAAGTGATTAAAGTTTGACCGTGATTAAAGAATCAGATGGAGTACAACCGGAACTAGATGTAGGCTTTTCTAGTAGATATGAGTATTAATTTACCCGTAATTGGATATTTATTTTGCATAATTTTTTATTTAAATTGTACTTTCATCTTTATTTTAGTTAAAATAAGTATTGTACCACTCGTAAATTTACAGTTTTTTCTAAGTATTATGTAATTTTCAATTGAACATTCATATTTTTTGATAATGTATTACATTTTTCGTTTAGTGTTCATGTAGTTTAAGAAAAATGAAATTATTTAGTTGAGATTTATAAAGAGGAGAGAATTTGTATGGACCACATATTCCATTCTTTTAAAAGAACAAGAAATTTATATTGGGAAACCTGCAAAGGAAATTGAGAAGATTAATTCGAGATGTAAGGAATACATTTTTTGAATATATATTACTCGGTTGAAATAAGTAAATGTCTAAAATGAGTACATTGGTTAATTGAATATGAGTATTTGCACAAATGTACGAAAAATACGGTACTGGATATACTCCTCATGTCTCCAAAAAAGACCCTTCATTTCTTTTTTGGAACGCCTCTGGAAAAGACTTCGCTTTTTAGTTTTGAAAAACATTCTATGGTATACAATCTTTCTTTCTCTTATGCATCATTTTCAACCATACATTTTATTTTTCTTACAATTTGCGCCAAAGAAAACAAGTGAACATATTTTGAGATAAGGACTTGTAGAACAATGTACACAATATTATTAGGGGATAAATAAGCAATCTGTAGTGGGGCTTCACCCCGACATGAATGGAGGTGTCACGCCCCATCACTGCATGACCATCGCGTCGTGTCAGAGTGACAAGAGGCGTGACAATGTGGTCTTGATGGTAGTCGATCACAAGCAATGTCCCTCTCTTTTCGGGAGAACTCTTTAGATAAGAGTAAAAAATTATGAAAACACCAAAATAAGAGTCTTGGGTCTTTTAAGAACACCAAAACTAGTGCGGTGCTTAACCTCTTCACTTCCAGTTTCTTACAGTTAATTCTAGCTTTTTCTGATTTCTTATTTTTTCCAGTTTGTTCCAAATTTTCTTACTATTCTCTCCATTTTCTTCTCTCTTTTTCTATTCACCATATAATGACTCTAAAAATTATATATTTTTCATATTATTATTATTATAACTATATTTTATAAATTATTTCAATTTTTTTATTTTTATTTTTCTCATGTCACTATTTTTGTAATTCATATTCATTATTATTTTTTGTTCCATTTTTAATATAAATAAAACGGAGTACAATTCTATTCGGAAAATTCTTTTTTTTAATTTACACGAGACTAAACTATGATCCAAGAATTATGGATATTTTATTAATCTAAATTGACCTGGAGAAAAACATCAATATTTGAAATGAAAAAATAATAATTATAGTAATCTCTCTTCTTAATTAAATGACATATACACTTTTCAATTGGTCAATATCTACTCACTTTTTTTACCTATTTTGAATATAATGACAATAACAATAACAAAAACAATAACAAAAACAAAAACAACAAGAATAATAATTATAATAAGAATACTAGCTATGTAAAATACACTTAAACATATTTTTGTAAAGTTTTATCCAATTTTTTTCAACATCTAAGTTTGTTTTCTAGCTTAAAGAACATGTTCTTACTAATAAAAAAGAAGTTACGTATAGAACAAAGCAAAACAAAAGATACATTAAATTTATGTAACACTAGTTTTTTACATTGCACAATAACAATTTACAAACCATGGACTTTGCAGTATATACACCTCCGGATTCCGGAACAAGTCCCGCTTCCATCACTTTTTCTTATTCCGTTTTCTTTCTCTAACCAAACACGTCCTTAACCTCTGGCGTTTTTTAAATCGGAACAAGTTCCTTAACCTCTGCGCTTTTCAGGATTTTAATATCAAAATTTGACACCATATATTTTACAGATATATACATACAGACAATAACTATCTGCGTAGTTTAGATAATGACTGTTTGTATAGTGCTAGTATAATATATGTTGTCAAATTTTGGTGTCAAATTTGAAATATGATAAGTCTTTATGTGCTATTGCATGCCCCCATTTATGGAGTGTGCGTAGCTCAGCAGCTGGTTGTCCTGATTCTGAAGTTGCCTGAGGAGCAACGCCTGACGAACGCCCAAAAGTCTGTGCCGAAGGGCAGACGACTGGGCTCGAACCAGCTCGTTGTTCCTCTGGGCAGCTAAGCAGAGCTGGTTAGAGGAGCGGAGCTGGTTCGTCAGCTTCCGGTTCTCAGCTCGGAGCCGGTTCAGCTCGAGAGTCAGCTCCTCTAGCTGCCTTTGCTTTCTCAACCGCGACCGTCTTGCAGACTCGCGGTTGGAGATCTTGCGCCTCCGCTTCCGCTCGTCCTCCGGCGAGCGGGGCCCGTCGTCGTCTCCGTTCCCATTCGGGTCATCCGAGCCGGAGCTCGAGAAGGCGGGGTTCGTCTTCGAGTTTTCGGTGCTCGAATCGGAATCCGAACCGGAGACCGTTTGAGTTTGGGTTTCGGGCACCGGGTCGTGGTGGAGAAGGGGGAAGAGGAAGGCCGGAGCGGGCGGTTCTTCCCATTCCCACGGGGACAAATCGGGTTCGAAAACGGGGAATGAGTTGGGGAGAAGAAAGTGATCGGGAGTGGCCGGGAAAGTAGACATCATTGCCGGAAAACCGCTAAGTAAAGGGGAAGAAGGTTGGGAGAGGTAAAGGGAAGAAAGGAGTGGTCGGAGGGTCGTATTTAAAGGCAAACCCCCACCCAATGCAAGTACGGAGTATGTTTTTTTTACTCGTAATACGAAAATTTGCATTTAAATTTGGATTACTTTTTTCTTAATATAAAACCTGTAGAAATATAATTAGAACTAAATTTGAATGATTTGATTACACATAGATCCGCTATTTATAATAGCTACAAGACCATGACCTAATTACGAGCCCAACAAGAATGAACCCGTTAACAACAACACCTACTACATTCCTTAACACTTCCCCTCAAATTGAGCATGAGGTTAACGAATGCACAACTTGGACAATTAAAACAAAACTAAGACTAAAAAAAACTTAATAAACAACTTGAACTTGATCTGCTCGACAACGAATGAAGGTAACCGACCCTGCAAACGAACAATAAATTTTGTGACGATTGACTCCCACGCGGTGACACGGGGACGACTAACAAACATCCCAAAGTTGGAGGCCGTGTTGTCGGACTGAGGCGCGACTTTGCGACCAACCTCACAAACAGGTATGTCGAACTGAGGCGCGACTATGCGACCAACCTCACAAACAAACATGCCGAACATACAACTGGTTGCACTTGAACATAACAGATAGCAACCAAAAACAATGTCGCCAAAAACGTCGATCAAAACTGGCTCTGGTTGAAAACCTTCTTCGCGATGTAGGAGCACAGAATAAACAAAACAAATAGAATAAATTCAAGAGGGGCCCACCAATTTCAGCCAAACAATTGGCCAAACAATTTTGGCCCAAAAACCTCAATTTAAGAAGAGGATTAATTGACCGTATAGAACAAAGATGTGAGGACTAGCCAGCAAACCTTGCGGCCACGCTTTTTCCTTTTTTTTAATGACTGCGACTCAAAATTGTGGTGCCCAAGAACAATTGGGTAACTCAGAATGATGTTGAAGATTGGATCACACGGACTATGACAAGAACGAGATCTGATGGTGAAGCCGCCGTCGCCGGATAAACCACAGGCGACGGCGGCGGCCGAAGCGGCAAACTAGAGGAAACTAGGATTTTAGGTTTTCCCAAGATTTGGCTCCGATACCATGTAGAAATATAATTAGAACTAAACTTGAATGATTTGATTACACATAGATCCGCTATTTATAATAGCTACAAGACCATGACCTAATTACGAGCCCAACAAGAATGAGCCCGTTAACAACAACCCCTACTACATTCCTTAACAAAACCTTTTAATTGCACCCGCATATTTTGTTGATTAGAGAGTCAAATTAAATTCTAACGCCAACGAAATTTGAAAAATGCAATTGAATTGGTGCACTAGAGTCGTTTCGGGCTTTGGGGTGTACTAGAGGGAGAACGTACAATTGATTATCAGACCAAAGCATTGTAAGATTATTACCAATTTGTTCAGGGTCATAGTCATTATATGACATTGGAAACCAGTGCCAATATGCTCCCTATGTTCCAAAGTGTTTGTCATGTTACACAAAATAAACAAAAATTTTAAGTTTTTTCAATTCATTTTATTTAAAGATTGGTAAAAATAAAAATAAAATTTACATATTTAAAAACTGCATCAAAAAATTATTTAAAACAAGAGGTGACAAAAATATTTTATTTTATCAAATAAACAATGAGAACGTACGAATAAACAAAAATTCTAATTATTTTTTAACAGTGAAGTGTGTCATTGATTTTAGGATGGGAGCTAGGAGTGATTGTTTTAACCTTTTTTTTGTTGATAGTTTTCAAATTTATTTGAAAATCATGCTAACAAACACAATAAAGTACTCAATAGGTTCATGCATCATTTCCTTATAAGTTCTAACACCTTCTGTTAAACAGAGGTAATAATTACGATGAAGGGTTTTGCATTACTTTAATGCTTAAGTTCTAATTGGAATTTTAAATTCTTGATATGAATTCTAAACTACGGAGTATAAAAGAAAGAAGAGTGGGTTCTGTTGACACTCGTCAATAATGACATTAGTGGTGTCACTGCGTTTTTGGAACACCTCCGAATCTAAAAATTAATGTTCCTACCCCTAACCCAGCCCTAGCCGCCATTCAACTCCCAAATACCAACTTCACAATTTACTCTTTCTTGCACATGTGGGTTTGAATTATTACGTAATACTTTTATGGAGATCATGCTACACTTACACCAAAAAATGTACACTATTTGTACACCACAGTTATGCACAAACATTTTGATGGTTTACACCGACACACGTGTTGGTGTGTTAACAAAAATTTACACGGACACAAAGTGTTGGTGCATTAATAAAAATTAGTTTTACACCAACACAAAATGTTGGTGCAAACCTGCGGGGTACAAATTGGGGTTTAAATGTTGGGTACACATAGCTTAATCCTACTTTTATCAACACATACACCTTTTTTTTGTGAAAAGATTTCAATTGAATCAAAGATGGGTGGATGGGAAAAAAGGACTTACAAAGTGGACTTCACGTTGCACCTAAAGTGAGTACTCGTACTTTTAAGTTTTAACTACAAAGCCTTTTAATTAAAATTTCGAGCTTGTAATTGTAAGCTTAAAAATGTTAAAAACACTATGATGGATATATGATGGATATCTTAGGTCAAGATGTTATTATTAATGTAATAAACTTAATAAGTTTATTTAATTAAATAACTCGGTGCTGAGGCCCAAACCTAAATATCGACCTGCAAGCAGATTGATGGGTTAGACCCGTTCGGGCCGCGAAGTAAGTGTAAAAATAATAAAGAACGCTTTTTGATTGAATGAATTGAGAGCAATACAAAGTATGTATTTATAGGTGGAAGAATATATTCTAGAATACTCCACATTAATAACTAATTATATAAGATAATATTATATAATAATAACTCTAACTATAATAGGTAACAACCATAATTATAATATATAATATTAAATATATTAAATAATTGATATATTTAACAGTAAGCTTAATGCGCTGGAGTCGTGCGGCTAGGGTAGGTCAGTAACTTGGGGAGAGGTCTACCTAAGTTTTCCAAGAGAAGTCTAATAGGATTAAGAATATTATGTGTTATAAATACCTCCTAAAGATTTTGTTCGAAGGAGGAATGAAGGTCTTGGATTCCAATTCTTGAGTTTAATATTTTTGTCTCTTATTCAATATTTTTTCATAATTCATGTGAGATTAATATTTGGTTGATTTAAGTTCCATCATTTGTGGTCTCATTAAAGGACGAGTAAGAATATTTATGTGTGTTCTTGAGCATGGCAGGAAGAACGACCAAGAACAGTACCAAGGCACTTGTGACGACGAGCCAATCATTTGCTACTGTGCTACCTTCCTCTACAGGGGGGAACCAGTTGTTCAACCAACCCCGATGGAGACTATCATGAACAACATCACACAATTGTTAGCCCACATCCAAGACAGACTGGATCACGTACGCTAAACAATACATTGGCTGTACGGCATGAGTTGCAGACTTGTGGGCCATCCCTAAAACGAGAGAAATCCAAGGCAGGATATGTGGTGTACTTTCAGAAGCGTGATGGGATGAAAGTTGAGAACAAATGGAATTGGAAATACAATGAAGGAGTCACGTTAGAGAGGGCCCTATGGAGCTTGGAATATCTGGTCCTAGATGGCAATTTGGTCATCTTATCCCTGCTAGTTGTGCCCCTATCCCGAAAATCAAGTCAGCCGCCTGATGTAGAGATCCTAGAGTGAGGGGACGGGGTAAGATGAAGGGTGTCAAGGCAGGAGAAGGCTAAAGCCAATGTGCATGTTGACCCAAAAGCGAGTAGAGTCGCATGATGTGGAGGCCCAGCTCAATGTGGTGGCCTGGGGTCTTTCAAAGATTTTGCGTCTGGTTAAGGAGAGGTTGGGAAGGAAGCCGACAACTATCCAAATTCTTAGCCGGGATGCTTAGAGCAACGTTAAATCTTCTAGGCAAGAGGTAAGCGCCCAAAGGAAGGATGATGAAGTACAAAGGGCCTGGTGGGCACCTGGGGGTACGACACCCTGGTGGTGGCTAAGAGGAAAGCTCATTAGGGATGCAGGATATATGTGAGAGAAATGAGAAGTTGCAGTTGAAGGTGGAAACCCCAAAAGGCCACAAGCTAGGTGTACCGGAGGACACTCCTTTTCCATGCAGGGTCATGGCCTACTCGTACCCTATAGGATCTAAGGTCCCACCTGTGAAGAAGTGCGACAGGGAGACTTACCTAGAAGAGCATTGCAGAATAAATTACAACATGCAGGCCGTAAGAGCAGAAGATGACTAGATTTGCCTCTCTTTTGCAAACAATCGATATCACGATAGCGCGTTGGCTAGATTCAATCCCCGTGCAGTGGAGCATCAGTAATTGGAGGGACTTAGTAGCAACATTCATAAAATATTTCACGGGGAACTGCAAACCTAAGAAACACTTTGCCCGCTTGGCCTCCGTCAAGCAAAGGAAGAGTGAGTCTTTGCAAAATTCCTTTCCAGATGAAGAAAGGATTCTCGAGAGGTAGAATGAGTGGATGAAAAATATTATTTATCAATTTTTACAGCCTCCCCCCTTGAAAGGCCCATTCTGTAATGACTTGACCACCCATTCGACAGACTCCTTTGCGAAAGCCATAACAATGGCGGATAGATATGTGACTTTGGAACAGAGGGATGAGGAACCAGAAGATGCCCTTGGGATGTCGAAGGATGGATCGAACAAGAAGGGAAAGAATGCCCCATCTTGGTCAAAGATGATCTAATGTCATGTCAAAGAACTAACTCAACCAAATAATCAAGTTTTTTGTTGTAGATCCAAAAGGTAATATACTCTAACACCTAACAATATTGTTTAGTTTTAAGTTTTTTAAAATCTATTGCTACCATTTAAAATTACTACATACACATACATGGTGAAAGTAGAATCTTCATAGTCCCTCCTAGGTTCTCATACTATTTAAAAAAGAGAAATTTACCTAAATAGGACTAAAACATAATGACTTTCCCAATATAGGACCATATGTTTTTATTTCCCCATGTAGGACTTTTGGTCATTAACAAGTAGTCATTATTCAAGTAAATGTCCATCATTACTGGACATTATTTTTCCCACTAGGTCATTATTAAGTCCTATTTAAGGAATAAAAAAGTTTAAGTCCTACATTGGGAAAGTCATTATGTTTT